ACACATACAAACGATTCGGCTCAATTCCTAATTCATTGTTGAGTTACATCTTTTAAGTCTGTCCGTCTGGCGGTGTCCCCATAAAGGCCGCGACTCGTTCGCGCAAAGATGTCTTAATGCGGCTCTTCAACGCCGGCCACATATTCTCGATCGGGTTCAACATCGGGGAGTACGGCCCTAGTTTTAAGAACGAAGCGTCTTGACCCGTCATGTTAGGGGTCAACAGAGAGACGTACCGGAGTTTGTGGTGCAGGGATGGCCTCTTCCATCGAGTTCAGATTCAAAAATGGTGAAAGCGCGCGAAACTCTTCGCGCGCTTCGATCTTTCTAGATTCCCAGCTCGAATTATAATGATTGTTAGGTGAATTATATTTTCGAAAGTTGGAATTAACCGTAGGTTGGGTGAATTATAACGGCGATATTTTACGTCGGCGTGAAATATAATGGAGGTTGGGTGAATTATATTGGCGATTCGGTGAAATATATCGGAGGTTGGTGGAAATATATCGAAAATAAGCTGGAATTAAACGCAAAATGGTGTAGTATACTCCTACGGTATTCGATTCTACTACTGATCTCCCCCCAACTTTGGAACGGGCTAATTTCAATAAAATGTAGAAACGAATATTATTAAATGTCGAAGGGTTTTCAAATATTCAAATGCATGCATTTTGCTTGAAAAGCTTATTGCCAATTCAAGATGAAGCTTCGTATGTTGTTGGAAGACAAACACGCCTTATACGTGAAGCATTTACAGCAGCCAAGTGCAACGTATTCTGAACTCGCAGTATGGACAAAAGATACATTCAATTTAAACTCTACACCGTCGAAACAAACGGTTGGACGCGCCATCACCCACCATCAAACTCAAAGTCAACGCGCCGACATCAAGGCCCGGTCGATTGACCGCAAGGTGTCGCTGCCCGTTGTGGAAACAAGGCTTGTCCAGTGGGTCCTACGGTGCGAGGAACTTGGCGTGTGCCTAACTGGTGAGCTCATACGCAAGCAAGCGACGGCGCTTTGCGACGAACTTGACATACCTGCCTCGAGGCGCCTTACCTTTTCCAAAGGATGGTTATACAAGTTTCAACAAAAGCACGGGTTTACCAGCAAGAACCAGCACGGCGAAGCTGCTTCGACGTCCCTTGCTGCCATCGAGAATGGCCGACGGGATATCCAGGCAGCTACAAGCGGCTTCAGTTCGCCGAACATATACAATATGGATGAAACTTCGCTTTTCTACTGTTTGTCACCTCACCGCTCCATCACGCGAAATCGGGTCCCCGGGACAAAGAAGTCTTCCAAGCGGATCACACTGGCTCTCACGACGAACGCGGACGGCTCGAATGTCGTTGACCCCCTATTCATTGGGACAGCAGTACAGCCAAGATGTTTTAACCGACGTACCGGAATTGAGCTGGGCATCGACTATCATGCCAGCAAGAAAGCGTGGATAAAAACGGACGCATCTTCAACGACGTTTTGACGGCGATGAACGAGAAGATGGTCGAACAAGACAGGAAAGTCTTGCTTCTCGTTGACAATGCTCCGCCGCATATGCTTGACGAAAGGACTGTGTTGGCCAACGTCAAAATCAAGATGCTTCCACCCAATACAACAACGCACCTGCAGCCTCAAGATGCTGGCATCATTGGAGATGAGTATCTTAAATAACCTCTGAAGCTTTATAGGGTTGAGGAAAACTCCGGAACTTAGTACCAGAATCCATGAAATGGGTCCATTTTGGGGATTCGAATCCTCGACCATGATTGGCCAGATCTGTTGACTTGTAATTGGCCAGATCTGTTGACTTGTAATTGGCCAGATCTGTTGACTTGTGATTGGCCAGATCTGTTGACTTGGTGCAACGCTTTTCTGTTGTTGGCACTTCGAATGGAGCGTGGAGGTGGAAGCGTGGAGGATGACCCACATGAAGTGGAGGTCAATCAGAGGCGCGGTGGGAGCGAACAAGTTAATGATAACCTCCATCTTTATGCATAGTGACGTAGAATCATCACATGTATACACTTGTAGGAACTACGAAAAGCAACTTAGGCGGCGCCCGACGCCGCAGCTTAGTCAGCCGCGCCT